CCCGGCGACCACCTGGGACCCCTAGACTCACCTGGGCACACCTGGGGAACACCTGGGACACCTAAACACACCTGGGGACACCTGGGGACACCTGGGGACACCTGGGGACACCTAAACACACCTGGGGAACACCTGGGGACACCTGGGGGCACCTGGGGACACCTGGGACACCTGGGACACACCTGGGACAGACCTGGGGACACCTGGGGACACCTGAGTGACACCTGGGGACACCTGGGACAGACCTGGGACACCTGGGGACACCTGGGGACACCTGGGACACCTAAACACACCTGGGCACACCTGGGACACACCTGGGACACCTAAACACACCTGGGACAGACCTGAGACACACCTGGGGGGACATGGGACACACCTGAGCTCACCTGGGGCACACTGGGGATACCTGGGGGGCACACCTGGGGACACCTAAACACACCTGGGGACAACTGGGACACACCTGGGACACCTGGGGACACCTGGGGGCACCTGGGGACACCTGGGACACACCTGTACTGGGGGGCACCTGGGGACACACCTGGGACTCTCTGGGAGTACCTGGGACACACCTGGGGGGCACCTGAGCTCAACTGAACTCACCTGGGCACAGCCTGGGGGGGACACGGCACACACCTGGGCACACCTGAGCTCACCTGAACTCACCTGGGCACAGCTTGGGGGGGGCTCGGGACACACCTGGGCACACCTGAGCTCACCTGGGCACACCTGTGGGGACAAAGAGGGGACACCAAGGCACTTGGGGTGGCACTCAGGTGCCCCCAGGTGTGCCCAGGTGTGCCCAGGTGCCCCCAGGTAACTCTGTTTTCTTTCTCTCCCCTCCCCCGCAGTGCTGGCGCTGGCCTGACCCCCCCGGGACCCCTCCCCCCGCATGTGACCGTTGATTGACAGCGGGTGTGAGGGGATGGGAGTGGAGGGGGGGCGGGGCTTGGGGTTGATTGACAGTGGTTGTGAGGGGATGGGCATGCTGGGGGCGGGGCTTAATATTGATTGACAGCACTTTGTGGGAGCAGTGGTGGGGCGGGGCTTGATAATGATTGACAGCAGTTCTGAGGGGATGGGAGTCCTGGGGGCGGGGCTTAATATTGATTGACAGCCATTGTGGGTGCGGTGGTGAGGCGGGGCTTTATAATGATTGACAGCGGTTGTGAGGGGATGGAAGCAGGGGCGGGGCTTGCGGTGGGAGGAGCCAATGTGGGAGAGGGCGGGGCATGGTATGATTGACAGCGAGAGAGTGGGGGCAGGGCAGGATGTGGGGCGTGGCTTGCAGATGATTGACATTGGCGGTGTGAGGGCGGGGCTTGGGATTGATTGACAGTTGCATGGCTGCAATGTGGGGGCGTGGCTTTTAAGGGTGTGGGCGTGGCCAAGATACAAATAATGACCAATGAGAGGCCAGGAAGGGGGCGGGGCTATACTGGGTGGGCGTGGCTGTGTGTGAGCGTTGTGGGCGTGGCCTCACTGACCTCGCCCCGCCCACAGGAGCAGGGGGAGGAGCCAGCGGGGCCCCTGCAGAAGACGCCAATCATCCTGGCCAAGCCCCCGGCCGAGCGGGTGAGCCGGGGGGCGTGGCCGCCAACAAAGGGGGCGTGGCCACTCCTAAAACCAGCCGTGACTCCTCCCACTCATTGCGGCCACGCCCCATGACGTCATCTCCCCGCAGCAGGCGCCTCCGGCCGCCCCCAAGGCGGGGCCGGTGCAAGCCCCGCCCCCTCCCGCGCCGGCCCCGCCCATCGTGCTGATGAAGGCGCGGGGGGAGGAGGGGCGCGGAGGGGGCGTGGCCTCGGCGGCGGCGGGGGCGGGGGCGGAGCCG